ACACAGAAAGGTTAATCAAAATTCTATTTACAAAGGGGAAATAAAAAAAAAGATGCTGGGGGGAAGGGGAGAGAGAGAGAAAGAGAGAGAGTGAGAGAGGTTAATTGTTGTACCAATAATGCTGCCTGAGCTGGCATCCTGAGAGTTTGCCAATGGCAGGCAAAAGCCAAGAGAGATCAGGTACTCATGTGTTTGGTTTTACATGGGGAGTGGCTGCTTAACTCCACATTTAGTTCCCATCAATCCCCCACTTGGGAAGAAAAGATCCATGTAGTCTCGTGGCATTGATGGGATTTGTAGCCTTAGTGCATGGGATCTCTTTGACATGGAGGTGCGGGTGGCACCCATAAAATGTCAGTGGGTGGTGTTCATTCAGGACATGTTCTTCCCCCAACAGAGGTAAGGCATGTACTTCACATACCACAACATTAGACTGCAAAATAATCTCTTTTTTAAAGAGACACGGTGATTCAATCTGACTTTCTTCGCCAGTTAAGCTTCCAACCGTTCTTGTTTGGGAGACACAGGCTCAAGTTGACAATCACCACTCCTCATCATTACTTTTACAATTCTTTCACGCTCTCATACTCTCTGTGCGGAACAGACTCTGTGCACTACCTTTTCCATTGCAGCCTGGATTTTATAGTCCTCACTAGTGTCCTAAAGTTAACAACAGCAAGGAGCTCTGTGTAATAGATTTCTTTCCCTCTCCTAGGCTGTACTGCCCTGGTATCTCTCCAAAAATAGTTTAGTCACAACTTTTCTTATTCTTCTCCACTAGGCTGTCATTATGGTGCGTATAGTAGTCATTCATTCAGGATTCCAGAGTTGCTGTCTTTGTTGAGGTGTACTCTGGTTGTAAATATATGGGGGGTGGTGAACCGATATTTTCACTGTACTCATCTTGGCGGATTCTCATTATATCTTGATTTGAAGTTGCCTAATCCCATGCTGCAGCTCTGAACTGCAGTAGTTTTATAAGCATAATACTCCAAACTTAGGAAAGGCACTTTGATCATTAAAGGAAAATAATTTAGCATTTTAAGATACCAGTAACTTTCATATTGCATATAAAATGACCACTGTGTACTGCAGTCATTCTAGTTAATTTTCAAATTGCAAATCTGAGCAGCAGCAAAATAAATAAATATTTTTGTAGATCATTCAAAGGAGAAGACCATTGACTCCTCTGGCCACAGATCTGATAGAGTAGCCTACTCTGTCAGCCCTCACCTGGGAGAGGCCAGCCATACACTGTCCCAAATACAGAATAAAAGCTAGCATGTAATATGAAAAATTCATAAAGCTGAATGTGGCTAATAGCTCTGCAGGACCTTAAGTGCACTTGTCCGCCCTGGCTAATGTTGTGCGTGGGTGAGCACACTCCCCAGTAAGGAAACAAACAAGTCAGCAGAGCACAGTGCACTCTGTCCTGCAAATAGTTGCAGCCCACTACTTTGTTTCAAGTAGAAGCTACAAGAAGCACCAGGTCTGGTACAAACATGCATCCCACCCTTTGCATGGGGCACATTTCCTGTTTTTCCCTGCAGGTCCTAATAAACAGGCTTCCAACTTCAGACCCCAGGCTCCTGCTTCATTCTCTTGCGTCTCAGAGTCTCCTACGTAAGGTAGCTGTCAGTGCACCCCTCAATGGGTTAGCAACAGCTGAAAATGTATGTAATAGTAAAATAAATTGAATTTCAAAGCGATGATTTCTGTAAGTTTAGGACATCCATCCTTCTGACTTGGGACACCCTGCCTATAGATGCAAAAGTTCATATTAGAGAAGGAAAAAGAATGAACTCTGTACCCAACCCAAGAAATCAGAAGAGAATATAGCAAAGCAAAAGAAGGAAAGAAAGAAATAAGAAAGACAGGAACAGAAATTTAGAAACTGGAAAGCAAAGAGACAGGAAGTAAGATAACTAATCACTCCTTGAAAATCCTAACAAGATGTGTTACTCAGCAAGCTTGAGCAATAATAAGAATATGTAGGAATATGACCACAAATATTTATGAGTACTTACTTAAAATAATACTTTAATTAAAATATTTTATTAAAACAAAGCTTCTAGTTTCAAAAATGTAGACTCTGGGACTTAATATTTTACACACATTGATTGCACTAGGATATTTTCATACCACATCATTAATTGAAGCAGGTCATTACAATTTAAGAAATTTCTATTTGTGAAATTAAAATGTATTGTTCCACTGTAAGACATTTCTATTTGTGAAATTAAATGCATCGTTCCACTGTGGGGCATTGTATTTCAAGAAACTGCTTAGAAGAAGTAGGGCAGGTAAAGTCAGTAGCAGCTGGGGTTGAGTGCTTCTTCAATCACTCCCTCTTCTCTGTTCCTTAAAACATTAGAACTAGATAAGCAAGGGAAAATCCCACAGAATCAGCAACAAATGTGAGGGGGCCCCACCCAAGGAGGGGGAGGCTGAGCGAAGCAGTGGGTGGTCTGGCAGAGCTGAGACCGGAGCCCTATGCTGTAACATGGATTCCCAAGACTCCCCGAGGGGTGTGAGCACCCCATCCTGGGCCGAAAAGCTCAGGCCAGGCAGCCAGCTGTAAGCTTTCAAAGGAAAAGATTGAAACTCCTTCCCCAGACCACACCCCACATGAAGGAGAACAGTCTCCCTGGGAATTGAGGGTCCCTGTGAAGATGGTGCACAGAGCAGAGGAAGGAGGCCAGAGGGAACAGTCATGTGGCCACTCCAGAGGGTGCGTGAGAGGCCCAGGGCTTAGGAGCTGGGTCCCCAGGTGAGGAAACTAGCATCATGCATGAAGGAGCTCTCAGAAAGCAACACAAAAGGACTCTGCATAACCCAATAGTAGATTCTTTTCAGTAGAAAAAGAGTAAGGACTAGTATCAGGTTTTTTTTTTTTTTAAAGATTTATTTATTTGTGCATACAGAACTGGGGTACAGGCCAGAGATGCAGAGGGTGCGAGGCTTCACCAGAGACAGAGTGGGGAGCAGAACAGGCAGATCGACGAAGTACACTGCTGAGGGGAGCAGCGGGCTGGTCAGGAGAGGTCTACCGCGCCATGTGGTCACCTCCGGGGCAGGCGGGAATCGAACTCATGCGGAAGTGGCTTTAGCTTCTTAGTGCTGTGCTTTAACCCGCTGCGCCACCAGGGAGGGCCAGTATCAGGTTTTTAGACATGATAAAATTTGCCTGAAATATATGCCCACGAAGTGGGTGAAAACTACAATTCAGTATTTCAAAATGAACTAAAATAATTTAAAACATAATAGACCTAAATAAAAACTGAACTCAGTGTGAAACTGGTTACTTCAGAAATGACAAACTAGAAGGACAATTAGGTCCAGTAAGGGACAGGAACACTATCCTCATGGGGCTGAGAGACCCAGGCCAAGGGAGAGAGGGGTGCTGTTGTTAATCATTGGAGGTGGGAAGAATATGATGGTGTCAGGTGTTCTCTGGAGGACACCACACTCTATAGACAGACTGATAAAGAGGTTTCTAAAGTGAAGCAGCTAACAACCGAGGAAGGCTGGTAACCAGGATGTCAGACCCCAAGGGGAGTGTCTGGCTCGTCCCATGGTCTCACTGCCCAGTCAGGAGAGGTGCTGAGTAAGGGTCCAGGACAGATGGCTGACAGCACAGTGACCTCCATACCAGCTACAGCAGAGGGCCCGCAGCTTTCCACATACTCTGGCTGGGGTATTGTGGGAACTGGTGGGTCTGAGTGGCCCAAGCACAGCCAGTGATGGATCCTGTCATCTCCTGGGATCCCCTTGGCACAACCCCACTCTGTTCTTAGGAGTCAACTGAACCCTTCAGCTACCATTGCAAGGAACTGCCTCATCAAAGGCAAAGCCCCCTCTCCTTAGGAGGCTGTGACAGTGAATTGCTGATGGTGTCCAGAGGCCATGCATTTGTTTGGGACAAGAAGGACTATCCCAGCTTCTGAGTGCCCTGTAGGTGAAGCTCAGTTGCAGCTGAGGGGCAATGCAATTTATCCTTCTGCTTAAAATCAGCTTCCCTCACTGCCCAGTCTCACCCCAGGGAACATTCCCCCAATGTTTGCAGTGACTGTGCGTCTACATGTTGCCTCCAGAGAACCAACCTAACATGGCTGTTGCTTCTGCAGATACATCTGTTGGTCCAGGGCAGACTCACTGGAGTTTTAAGACTGACTGGTCACAGCATGATGAGCCCTTCATGGCAGATATGTGAGACTCAGGAAGGAAAGTGACCTGATGGTCTGGGCCCCAGGAGCCATGGGACCAGACTCCACCTCATTATGTGATTCCCACTATAGTTCACATCTCCTTAGAAGGAGAGTTTCTGTCCATGTTTTATGTATTTCTTTTTATATTCTCCCCCCCCTTTTTTTTTAAACACTAGGAGGCATTTTTTTTCTTGAAGCCTGGAAATTGTTTTCTTAAGGAATATTTCAATTATCCTTGATCTTTACATTTGCTTCTCAGGAACTTTTTTTTTTTTTTTCCTACTTGTCTTTCCTAAATGTGCTATAATGTGCTCTCTGGAAATTCCCTGTGGCTGTTTTTAAAAGAAAGAATTCATAACCAGAAATATGAACAAAGATTCTTCCTGTTGCAGGGTAATGAGAATATCGTTCAGTGAGTTCCCTGAAGTGGTTTGAGTTTATTGCTATAATGATGAACGCACTTATTTCTGCTTGGTGGAGGTATGCTGGCTTTCCCAGCTGAAAAACATTCACTAATTCTCTAGAAGACACTGAACATCATTTGAACTCTGCTACTTTTACTTTTAAAGCTACATACTCACTATAAACGTTTTCTCTTTGGGAGTGAATTTACTACCAGTCTCTTCCTGTCGATATTGTTCATGTAGGGAACCTACAGGAGGAAGAAGCCTAACAAAACAACAAGAAGTAGATTCTTACCTCAGCTCATTTTTTTGACTTCTTTTACACAGTATTGAGAACTATTTATTTGCTTTCTCATGCAACAAGACAAAATGAAGAGTATTCTTATAATAACTTTGCAAGGTGTGCTTTATTTTATCAGTCTGAACCCAAACTACATAGGATCATTTTTTGACATAGGCTAGTCCATTCGATGATTCTTCTCAGAAATTGTATTTTAATAAGGAATGAAAACTACATTTCAATAATAAATTTCATGCTACATTGTTATTTAATGAAGTTGTGTTACCAATGATAATAATTTAAGAAAGACCATTTTTATTTCCCCAAGCTCAATATACACATTTCTTTCATAACTATGAACTTAAAAAACCCGTCTCAGATGTAAAAATGTGAATTGGAATATGTAAACTCTTGATATACCTGAAAAACAGGAAGGGAAATGTCACATACTGGAAAAAACATTGCCTTAAATCATCGAAATGGGGAAAGCATGTGAAGGGGTGGGAAAAGGTGGAAGAGTACCATGACCGAGACCAGTTAAAGAATTACAAAGTCAAAGTCTTCCACATCTGCCTGGGTGGCATTTTTAAACTTTCTACTGCTTCACGTCTGTGTTTCACAAGGAGCTGAGGATCAGCCATTACCGTGGAGTGAGTAGCTGGCTGGGTCGCAACAAAGCAGGTGTCCATATATTTATTTTGCTGCTTTTTAATTTTTCCTGAGAAGTCACTGGTGTTTAATGGAAAGATTTCATATTAGTCTTCTGTTAAGATAAGGCAGTAAGAGTGTCACTAAAGTTATCTTTTTGCTTAGACTGAGGCTTATCCATCCATCTGCTTCTTCCGGGGTCATCAGCTTCCTCTCTCTTTTCCCCTGTAGACATATGATTAGGAGTTCTCAACCGCCTGCTGCTGTTGCATATTTGGGGTATGCTGAGGGCTCAGCTGTCCTCCTCAGAGCAGCTTCCCCACAGGAGAAAGCGCTGCCTTGGCATCACAGCATCTCCTGAGACAGGGTGCACCCCCACTCAGGAAAGCACTATCTTTCCTCCACACTTCTCTTCTGTTTTTCTGCTGGAGGAGATCCATAAATGAATCATTTACATAGTCAATCAGAATGCAAGACACTGTTGACTAAAACATAAAGCAAGTAGCCCTGATTTTAGAGAAATTGAATTATAAATAATTTTTCAACAGCTCCTTAATTTGCAAGGTAGCTTTGATTGCAAAAGGAAGTCAGCTCCTTTGGCCTCCTGTCAGAAGAGAAACCATTTCCATCAGAGTAGAAATGCTTAGCTCTTTTGAGATATTGTGCTTTTTTTCTCTAAAAATTCAATTTTTAACTTGACTGTGTCCTAAGGTATCAATTGTCTTTTTCTCTAGTCCATTTGATCATGGTTTCTGGTGAACGGTACAGGAATATTAATTTGGCATAGAGGTCCCCCTCTAGTTCTAATTCTCCTGTCTCTCGAACTAAAAAAATATCTGTACACAGCTTCAAAATGCGATCCACATTTGGAAGTTCTTCAAACATGATGGAGTGAGAAATACCACTGAAGAATTCACGGACAAACTTCCCAATCACAAGGACGACTGAAGCATATAATCCCATAATACTGAAAAAAAAAAAAATTAAATAGAAATTGTGTTCAGCAGTTGAATATTACCAATAGAGCATATCTAAAAGAAAAAAGAACATTTACCCTCATGTTTTGTAGAAGACATAACTAACTTGTCAAAGTTTAAAAATTTTCCCTTTCATGAACAAATAAATTTTTATAATTTATATTCTTTGTAAAATAATTTTGACATTAAAGAGCTACAAAACTTGAAAAGCCTTTTCAAATCTTCCAATAAACAATGGCAGCACCTTCCTACATGAACTTGTGTAGGCTCTAGTGCTTCATATGAGTAAACCACATAAATACTTTAAAAAATGCAATGGAATGATATATACTCTTTGCATCTAGCATTTTCTCTTAAAAATATGGTATTTTGGGGCCCTCCCTGGTGGCGCGACAGGTTAAAGCACAGCACTAGGAGGCTGAAGCCACTTCTGCATGAGTTCGATTCCCGGCTGCCCCGGAGGTGACCACATGGCATGTCAGAGCTCTCCTGACCCGCCCGCTGCTCCCCTCAGCAGTGTGCTTCGTTGATCTGCCTGTTCTGCTTCCCACTTTGCCTATGGTGAATCCTCTCACCACCCCTGTACCCCATTTCTGTATGCATAAATCAATAAAAATCTTTTAAAAATATGGTATTTCTCTAAGATTAATCTATAATAAAATCCTGTGTAGGCAATAATTTTTTAGGATGCTCGTTCTGGGAAATGTGTAACTTTCTACACATGTCTAGGAGATGTGCTTGTCCTAGGATACTTAATGTCAGAATGTGGTGAAATGGTAACATAGGACTTGCTTAAACAGTGATTTCTAATGTGTTCTCTATCTTTTTTTTTTTTTTAAGATTTATTTATTTCTTCATACAAAACTGGGGTACAGGCCAGAGATGTGGAGGGTGAGAGGATTCACCAGAGACAGAGCGGGGAGCAGAACAGGCAGATCGAGGAAGTACACTGCTGAGGGGAACAGCGGGCGGGTCAGGAGAGGTCTGCCGTGCCATGTGGATCTCCTCCGGGGCGGGCAGGCGGGAATCGAACTCATGTGGAAGTGGCTTAAGCTTCTTAGTGCTGTGCTTTAACCCACTGCGCCACCAGGGAGGGCCGTGTCCTCTATCTTTTAAGGTAAGAGGGAATTCTAAGCTGAAAAGGTAACCCTTTTCTTTTGCAATTTCTAAGTTTGAACATTGAAGTGCATCGAACTAGGATGTAACAGCAAGGAAGCTGGGAAGATAACTTCAGGTCCTGTCATTTACAGTGCCAATCATCTAAGGCAAGTTCATTTCTTTGGGACTCTGACTCCTCATTTTTAAAAATGAAAGACCAAAGATCTGTAAATTTTGGTATTTCAGATAATGTTTGATAATTCTGAGATGATAAAAGAATCCAGTCCTTAACTTGTATAACCCAGTTGATCCAAAGCGATTTCATTTTTAATGAAGCACCACTGTTTTACTTCCTTGCTCAATATTTTGACAGGACAGCATTTCTTCCTTTAGCTGTGGGCACCTCAGCTCTCTCACCAACAAAATACCCATAGTCCTCCACCACAGTCCATTGTCCTCTGCCCTCTCCATTCTCATCTCCTTCCCTCTCCTTTTGATGGCTCAGATCTACAGTTCTCTTTCAAGGACTGGTTTTAATGTTTGTTTTGTCTGCCCTTTTGGTTTCTCTATATTCCACATACAAGTGACATCATCCTGGATTTATCTTTCTTCCTGGCTCATTTTGCTTAGTGTAATCCTGCCCAGTTCTATCTGTGTTGCCACAAATGGTATACATATCATATCTACTTGATCTACTCTTCTATTTTTTGGCACTTATTTTGGCTATTGAAAATGGCATTGCAGTAAACATAGCAATGCAAGTTTCTTTCAATAGTTTTTTTTTTTTTTTTTTTGGATAGATACCTATGAGAAGGATTGCTGGGTTATGTGGCAGCTTAAAATTATTACCTACTAAATAAATTCTTACCCATAACCAGCCAAGAACCCCAGGCTGGGGGGGCTGACTTTGTCATTGAAGACTATCAATTCCAAAGCCTGAGAATGTTGATTGTATATTCTATTTCCAGTCAGGTTGAGAACCCACCACTCACTATTAGACTTGGTTGCATTGTCTCTGGACAAAATTATGGTGATATTCATGAAATTATTTTCTGGCAGAGGAGAAAAATAAAATCCAATTAGCACGAGAATTTTAAAATTTAATATTTCTCAACATTTTTCAAGTGGCAACAACAACAACAAAAAAGGTCGCTATCCATAGCATATGATCTTAAGACATGTGGACATGTTAACAGTGTGAGTAGAAATGAAAAGTGGGCTTTAGGTGCATGTGAAGTTTTTCTTTTTCACTAAAGAATCAACCATGAGCACTAATTGTGTATGGCAGTAAAATCACAGACACAGAGTGAAATACACATTACTCGTAGCATCTTTGCTGATAATCCCAAACACTAATTAGACATTTAAAAGTCCAAACCACTGATTTTTGATTGAATTGATGAATTCATTCATATTACCAGCATTTATTGTCTTCTAGGAGGAAGGCACACTATTAGGTACTAAGAGGTTAGAAAGTTGCATACTTTTTATTAACATTGTTCCCAATGTTAATAGGAATAAAACCATATACACAGTCATAATAATATCAAGATATCAATTTACTACTATTATTGTTGTATTAGGAAAAATACAGTCCCTAGAGCACTTACATTGATACTTACATTGTAATTGGGCTGAATCAAGTATATTCCCTGTGTTTGCTTTCGGTCCCTGTTTTTGGGATCTTCATATCTAACACTTTGAGGCAGCTTTCTGCCAAACGTGATTTTTAGTAGAAACAAACAAAATGATTAATCAGTAATGAAAGTCACTAGATGTGATTATATCAATCATGTTTGGTATCAATGAAAAGAAGAAAATTAAGACTCTGCTCTGGATGAGTAACTGATACTTCTGGCTAGTGAGAGTGGCCACAAGTTTTACACTTCTCGCTAGTTGCATCATACAGGGAAAAGTAACTGAAAAGTAGCTTGAGAAAGGCTAAAATTCAAACTGTAGAAATTAAATAGCAGAAGGATTTAAAAAGTTCTGAAACAATTCCTTCTCATTCTTACCAGGCAAAAGTTGCTTTATAGGTTTGGAGTTAGAATCACTAGGTGCTTTCACATAATACGGGTAGATTCGTTCAATAGTCCTGTTCATTAAGGGGAAAGAAAAGTGGTAATAAAGTTTTAGTTGTTTTATTCACAACAAAATGCTTTCATTTGCTTCTTTTTCTGACTTCACATCAATCAAATAATGGTGAGCCTCTTCATCTATCTATACAATGGTGAGTCACATAATATGCAGGTTTCTATGACAACCAGAATGCTCTGAAGTCGAGCAATAGGTATATGAGAAGGCTGCATTTCTTGAAAACATGAATTTGTAATATTTCTTTTGTACTTGATCATAAACCTACTAAAATGGTATTAATAGGAAAAATCAACTTACACTGGCATTTTTGAACTTTCTGTGTCATTGCCAGCTATCATTTTAGCTATATTTTCTCTTGTGTTATTTGTAAGAATGAAAGAAAGTTTGTCTGTTGCTATTTCTGCCTTTGCACCCAGACTCATGTTTCTGTGAAAAAGAAAAGAAAAAAAAAAAAAAGAAGAGTTTGCTGTTAGCAATTATTCAGAAGACTAGGAGAGAGATTTAAAAACTCACTTGATTTTTCATATTATTAATCTGACAAAGTTTTCATTGGTCTACAGCTGTCAACCCCAACACTTTCTATTCACCTACCATTTCATTGTTTCTTAGAAAACGAGTCTGTAAAATCTAGGTAGGTCACAACACCTTAAAAAGAGATCTTATTTGAAGAGGCAGACTTTGCTTACTAAAAAAGGCATGTCCTCATGATTCAGATGCATTTCTGAAACACTTTTCATGAACTCAGTGAAATTTGTCTCTGCGGTGAACAATAGACTTCATGTTTTAAAAAGACTGATCAGAAGTTGATTTTTAATATTGTTATTTTTATGGTAGCTCTTCAAAGAAAAGGCTTAGAAGTAAATTTTGGCAGCACAGAATTTGATTGGAAGAACTTGGACATTTAAAAGGAGAAAATAAGATCAAGAAATTTTAAAAATTCCGTCTCGCCTTCTTCTAAATATGCTTTTATACGTCCTTGTGAATTCATTTTGAATTTTTAGGCTTTCTTCTAAACTTCTCATAATTATTTCTTGATTCTAACCTAGAAGCTGTATCCTGGACTCCAATGAGCCCATCGCTTGACAAATAAGCTTGTGTAGACAAGACTGTGATGAAAGAACTAAACTAATCAACTAGGGTATTGTGACCAAGTTCCCAAATGGCTTCACTAACACACTGGACTTTTGTATGCAAGAATCTTCTTATTACATACTTTGTCTAAACCAGCGACATCATGGCAAGGCATGCTGTCATGCCTCAGGTTAGGTGACTGTGAATCTCCCTTACTTTACTCTCTCCCAGAGCTGCTGAGCTGTGCTTATAACTCACTCCTGGAGAAAACATATGCTAGGAATCCCCTGATGTTGGTGGCATGCGAGTGAGCATAGAGCACTCCAGAGCATGCTTCAGGCAAGTCTTACAGTTCATGCAGCCTGTCATTTCTATGGTTCTTTTATTTTCTCTCTACTTCTCTGTCTTGTTTATAGCACTCACCACTAGCCATTTGTAAAGAACAAAGTTAGTAGAACAAAGAAAACGAAGAAATTTTCTTTTGTCATTGAGTCCCCAATGATTTGCTTGATAACCACAATTATTAAAACTGACCAAAAAATGGAGAATTAACCAAGAAATTGAATTAACAAAGCTGATTTATTTAATAAACCAAAATACCAGCTGTAGCATTGAATGAATGTCCCCAAAGTATAATGTGAACTAAGGTTCACATTAATTATATTTTTCTAGCCTTCTATTCCCTCCCACCGTGAATTGATATTGGGGAAAGGAGAAAATTATGCATGGAAATACAGTAACTACCTCTGAATACTCCATGAAAAAACAACAGAGAAGCTACTATTGGGGTCCAAAAGTTCTTGCATCATTTTCTGCTTACTGGGAGGGCTGATGGTCCATAAAGAATTTGAATTTCCTTCCAGTTCTGCTACTGTTATGTCTTCTTTTTCATAATTTTCCAGAAATTGCATAGCATTCTGTATGTACAAAAAATATCATACATATGACGATGTATAAAAAAGTGATTGCTCATCCTTATAAATCACTGTATAAAGAAGATTTCTTCCTATGAAAGAAAAACTCCTGTAATGGATTGTCTTGATGTTCTATGGAACTACCTTGACTCCTACCCACAGAAGGAGATAGTTCCCCAGAGGTGATGCTGTGATAGCAGTACAGCTACTGAACTATTCCAATTAAGCAATAAAGAAAAATAAGATCATTTAGTGTCTTGTCCCTCTTTTAAGAAGGAAGCTTAGAACCATTGGCGAGCGGCCCTCACATTAGATAATCAAGTTTAATCTGCTAAGGACATCCAGTCCCTATCCTTATGCTGTTTAGCCCTGAGTATACCTCAGTATACTGGTTTTGCTAATGTATTACATGCTGATCATTTTTATAAAAGAAAAAAAAACAACAACACTGGTTAACCTAATAATTATTTAAAACAAATGACATTATTAGTAAGATTAATTGTGATTATGAAATGGCATTATATTATTAATACTTAGGACTATAGAGAAAAGAAAAACATAATCTCAACTTTGCCAACAGGATATTCATTACTGTTTTTTTTGCAGTAGGAGTACATAGATCTTGCTCTTTATCATCAAAAAAAAAAAAAAAAGAACAGTCTATTTTTTTTTTTTACTTATATTTTACCATGAGAAATTTTTATGCTCTGTATAGTCTTTGTAAAGTTTATCTTTTCATTATAAAAGTTTATTGGGAAATATACAGACAACATAGCATAAATAAAATAAAATAAAATAAAATGCAGCAGCCCTTCCCACATGAGATAACTCTAGTGAAGCAGTGACAATCAAATTCACGTAATACATTTGACATAATTTAATCAACCACTACCTCAAGCTGTTGAATAAATTGTTTGTTGAATTCTCAAGTTGCTTCCAGTTCTCATTAATACAGAGCAAGTTGTCACAAGCAGAAATCGATACAGAGCTTTCCCCATAGTCAAAATTAATTCCTTAGGCTACATCTCAGAGTAGATCTACCAATCAAAGGCATCAACGTCTACTGCACTTTTAAAAATTAAAAGAAAATAAAAGGGACTAATATTTGCTGCACTTATGTGAAAATGATCTGAATTAAAACTACGATCATTTACATTTGTATCCAACTAAGTTGACTTAAAAGTCTTAAATTATCAAACCAGCAATATGCACTGTCTAACTCGTTATTCTTAAAATGTCCTTCCCACTACCATGAGCCATGGGAAAGAAGTGAGGAACAGAAGAGCCGGTGCGCTCACCCAGATGAAAGGTCTTCATAGAGATCTGCTATGCACATTTACTTACTGTGTCCCTAGAAAAAGATCTCATAAATTTATTAAACTTTGACTGGTCCATAACTTTCAACTGGCTTTGCTGGGCACTCATTGTGAAAATAGGCTGGAAAACAAAGACATACGGAGTTTGTTAGTATGCTCCAGCCCGTCTCTGTATTCTAAGTTAAAAGAAAAATATTTATACAGCCATTCACCCACTGAGTGTAATTGGCCCCAGAGATTGCTTCTTGAAGTGATTATCCCTGTGCTCTAAACCAGAACAGAGCTGTTTTTCACACTCTTCAGCGCTTTATAACATACATCACATAGTGGCTGACCCCTACAATTTAGATTGTAAATGCAGGTCAGCAAAACCCAACTAAACATCTTCTAGGTGGTACTGAGGAAAGAGCCCCATGTAGGGTGAGAGTTCAGCATTCGATACTGTACTGGGTGCTGGGGAGACCTGGTAGGGTGCCATGTCGTTACCTGATACCCTCCCAGGGTAATTGTGACAGAGACGTCAAGGGGCTGGTTGATCACCCCTGCAACAGACTTGATCAAAGACATGAAGAGAAGAGGAAACCAGACAATGCAGATGAGCAAGGCGATGATCATGCCGCCCATGCCATACTTGACCACTTTCTTCTTCTTCTGGCCCCGGGGCTGAGGGTATCTCTGCAACAGAAGAGATCGTGTGGCTCAGGCTGGGGGACCTGGGGAGGTTTATCCTGGGGTTACTCACCTTCAGGAGAAAGCTGTTGATTTTGGTACATAAAGGAAAAAATGCTGCATAGTCCATGCTGGCCCTGAGCTCCAGGTTACAAGCTAGGAGAGAGGAGTGGGAACTGGCGAGGACATCTCTGTGGAGCTTAACGCTACACTACAATGACTCTACAGGACTTGGCAGTGATTGGTGGGGCTGATTCTGGAGACCTAAGAACTATGGGCTTTAGTTTGGAGAGCATTACTCATTCAGTACACGGACACAAATGTTTTAATGCCTCTGCACTGTGGAAAGTATTTGAAGTTCAGTTCTTAGCAGTGTATTTTGATATCTTTGCAATGGAATTTGATACTGTTGATTATCATTTTCTATTTTTTTTTTTTTTTTT